TCTTGTGCCGTGAATATCACTGTAGAAAGTATTAGATGCCAAGCACTATCCCCGTTATCTTTGCATATTAAAACCAAGTGCACCTGCATATATCACCAAACTTTGGAAGGATTGGGCACACAGAAACACATGCAGACACAAACAATCCACCAATGAATAAAAAAGAGATGCCTGTGATTGAAAAATCTCATTCCAGCAGCAGAAGCAGAAATTGCAGTGAGCCTGTGAAGAATATAATAAATGCAATTTATCTTCATTTGCCAAATGGAGATTCAGGAAATGGGGACATATCTGGAAGAAGATAGCCATAACTGGCAGAGATTATTTAGCACAAGGACCTAGACTGTGGCCATTTATAACTGAGATGTTATTACAACCAGAACAAATATTAGAGCGAGTAGAGGTGCCTTATTAGTTGTTACTGCTGTCTGGATGTTAAGGGCTCAGTAAATTCTTTAAGGTATCTGCAGAAAATGTAACACATATACTGTACATGTATTTGCAACTCTGTCACAATTTTGTTTAGAATTGAATTTTGCACCCGGACTTTTATTAACCACATGCCACCCAGCCACTGTAGAGATACGTTGGCAGGGCGGCACGGCTGGGCAAAACCACATTTTAAAACGTGTGTTTGCAAAACAGGTAGGGGGTGCGCGCAAGGCACGCCACCGCCCTACCTGTCCCACCGATCACGGCCGCGGATGTCAGTCGCCGGGTCACAGCTGGTCGTTACCGGCTGTGTCCCGCCAATTAGCGGCAATCACTGACAGAGAGCAGGGCTGCAGTAGCTCTGCTTTCTGTCAGCTCCCTGTCAGCTCCTGACATGCTGAGCAGGAGAGAAGAGTTTATCTCTCCTGATCAGATGTCCCCCCCTCCCTGCAGTACACCCCCCCCCCCGCCCCCTAGTAAAACACTCCCCTCACACAGTTAACCCTTTCAGTAAATAAAAAAGTTAACCCCTTCCTCGCCAGTGCCATTAGTACAGTGTCAGTGTTTTTTTTTTTTATTTGCACTGATCACTGTATTGGTGTCACTGGGGATGTCAGTGACCCCAAGTCAGTTCCCCCCAGTGTCAGAATGTCCGCCGCAGTCCCGCCATAAGTCGCTGATCGCCGCCATAAGTCGCTGATCGCCGCCATTATAAGTATAAAAAAAAAATAAAAATCCCAGTATCTTTCCCGACATTTGTAAACGCTATTACTTTCACGTAAACCAATTAATTTACACGTATTGGGTTTTTTTTTTTTTTAGCAAAGACATGTCACAGAATGCATTTTGGCCGAAATTTGTGACGAAATTGGATTTTTACATTTTTTTTTTACTGTACATGTTTTATAGCAAAAAATCCAAAATATTGTTTTTTTTTCTCAAAATTGTCAGCCTTTTTTTTTGTATAGCGCAAAAAATAAAAAACGCACAGGCGATTAAATACCACCGAAAGAAAGCTCTATTTGTGTGAAAAAAGGACATAAATTTCATTTATGTACCGTGTTGCATGACCGCGCAATTGTCCGTTAAACTAGCGCAGCGCTGCATAGCAAAAAAATGGCGTAAATTGCAGTATCTATACCATAGTTGTAGACGCTATAACTTTCACAAAAAGCAATCAATATACACTTATTGAGATTTTTTGTTACCAAAAACATGTAGCAGAATACATTTTGGCCTAAATTTATAACTAACTTTGAGTTTACTATATATTTTTTATAGCTGAAAGTAAAAAATATCGCTTTTCTTCAAAATCTTTGGTCTTTTTTTGTTTATAGTGTGAAAAATAAAAAGCGTACAGGTGATAAAATACCACCGAAAGAAAGCTCTATTTGTGTGAAAAAAAGGACGTAAATTTTGTTTGGATGCAGCATTGCAATTATCAGTTGAATTAGTGCAGCGCCGAGTAGCAAAAAGAGGCCTGGTCATTAAGGGGGGTAAATCCTCAGGAGGGCAAGTGGTTAAGGGGAACATCAAAAAGGGTTTTCTTCCTGTAAGCATTATTTGGGAAAAAAACTTTTTTTTTTTCATAAAAAAAGAAAAAAAAACACACTCAGCAAGTACATTATAGCTATTTAACAGCAAAAGCATCCCACTTGGGTGGTAAAATATATGCAACAAGTTAAAAAAAGTTATAAATATCTATAAATAAACTATATGCTTAAAGCAATGCTCCTTTGAGAAATACTAAAGTCATACCCTTTTCTGGAAATAACTTTGCAATCCAAATAATCCATTGAATTGAAAACTGATGGTGGCAGAACAACACTCTGTGTGCTCCAATTCAAGTTGTCAGGCAACTATAGGTGACATGATCAGCATGTAACAACATAGTAGAGAGTTTAATCACTTGCTCTCTGGAAGGTCTTACCCCCTTCATGACCAGGACATTTTTTTGCTATTCAGCACTGTGCAAATTTAACTGGCAATTGTGCTGTCATGCTACACTCTATTCAAAAGAAATTCTTATAATTTTTTCCATCAAGTAGAGATTTATTTTGGTTGCATTTGATCACCACTGGGTTTTTTATTTTTTATTATAAAAATGAAAAAGACCAAAAATTATGAAAAAAAACCCCAATATTTTTTATTTTCTGTTATAAAACGAATCCAATAAAAAAACAACAAAAAACACATTTCTCCACAAATTTAGACCCCTGTAAGGCTGCTGCTTTCACACTGATGTGCTGCAGTTTATGTGCACCCCAGGAGCAGCGCAGTGCATCTGTGACTTTCTTGAGCTAGCTGCTCTTTGCCATAAACTCCTATTGTATCCTGTAGGTGTAGTGCGCTTTTAGAAAATGGGCCAAACCTGCAGGATATAATAGAAGTCTATGGCTTTGCATAGAAAAACCCACAGGATATATTAAAAGTCTATGGCTAAGCGCAGCAAACCCGCAGAAAAATTGCAGGTTCACTGCACTGCACCCACGATATGGGTAAACCACAGGGCATCAGTGTGAAAGTAGCCCTATACTATTATACCCAGTGAATTGCTTCACACTGACCTGAAGATCTCTTCTTTCCTGCTGCTGGCACCACTCTGGACACCGCAAGCTGGGATAAGAAGTGGAGTGCAGTAGGTTCGGCTTATGCTGCTCTTGCTCTTTACTACAGCTCCAACTTTACAAGTAGTCCCTCTGCATTACACTCTGTTTGATGCTCTGGGATGATAGATCAGCAAGCTCAGGTCACCATCTACCAGTCACCTGGCCATGATCTACTGGTAGATTGCGATCTACTGATTGCTGACTCCCAAGAGGCATGGCAAGTTTATTGAAGTTGTAATTTTTTGTTACAGTATTTTTAGAAAAATGAAGAAATTAAATAAAATGTGTTTTTTTAACAATTTTTTTTTACAAACTGTCACCAGTGCCTGACTAACTCAATTACAAATATCATGTTTTCTTCAATTAAGAAAAAAAAAACATTTTTTTTACTTTTTTTTTTTCTTTACTATTTTTTTTTTACATCCTGTCATCAGAGTAGCTCAGTGTCACAATAGTGACATTGTACTACTTTGAGGGGGTGATCATGGATTTTTTTTTACACTGTCATTGCTTATACAGTGATGATCATCTATGGTTGCTTGCTTGCTTGCTTGTTTATGGTTGTGATTTGTGATTGGCTACAGTTAATCATATGGTACAGGTATCCAGGTACCATGTGATTGCTGTGGGCCAATCACAGATCACAACAGTAAGCAAGCTGTTCATGAATAGAAAGCCATTCATGACAAGCTGTTTACATTGTTATAATGTGATCTCTATGACCAATTACCAGTTACTGGTAACAGTAATCTGCTGTGGACACAGTGGTCACAGGAGGGGTGTTCTACATGCTTCATGGGGCATGCTGCATGCTCCTAACCCAAAAATGGCAGAATCACGTACATACAGTATGTACATACATACTGTGTATATATATATGCCTGCTTTACATGCACATGAATTTTAATGGCATCCCAGTCTTAGTCTGTAGGGTTCAATATTGAATTGGCCCACCCTTTGCAGCTATAACAGCTTCAACTCTTCTGGGAGGAATGTGCACTAGGTTTAGGAGTGTCTATGGGACATGTTTGACCGTTCTTCCAGAAGCGCATTTGTGAGCTCAGGCACTGATGTTGGACGAGAAGGCCTGGCTCGCAGTCTCCGCTCTAATTCATCCCAAAAGTGTTCTATGTTGTTGAGGTCAGGACTTTGTGCAGGATAGAGAAGTTCCTCCACCCCAAACTCACCCATCCATGTCTTTATGGACCTTGCTTTGTGCACTGGTGCGCAGTAATGTTGGAACAGGAAGGGGTCATCCCCAAACTCTTCACACAAAGTTGGGAGCATGAAATTGTACAAAATGTCTTGATACGCTGACGCCTTAAGAGTTCCCTTCACTGGAACTAAGGGGCCAAGCCCAACCCCTGAAAAACAACCCCATACCATAATCCCCCCTCCAGCAAACTTTACACTTGGCACAATGCAGTCAGGCAAGTACCGTTCTCCTGGCAACCACCAAACCCAGACATGTCCATTGGATTACCAGACAGAGAAGCATGATTTGTCACTCCAGAGAACAAGTCTCCACTGCTTTAGAGTCCAGTGGTGGCGTGCTTTACACCACTGCATCCGACGCTTTGCATTGCACTTGGTGATGTAAGGTTTGGATGCAGCTCCTCGGGCCATGGAAACCCATTCCATGAAGCTCTCTACACACTGTTGTTTTATTCTGAAGGCCACATGAAGTTTTGAGGTCTTTATCTATTTACTTTGCAGACAGTTGGCTACTTCTGCACACTGTGCGCTTCGGCATGCGCTGACCCAGCTCTGTAATTTTACGTGGCCTATCACTTCATGGCTGATTTTCTGTTGTTCCCAGTAGCTTCCGCTTTTTTATTATACCACTAACAGTTGACCGTGGAATATTTAGTAGCAAGAAAATTTAATGGATGGACTTATTGCACAGGTGGCAACCTATCACGTTACCAGGCTTGAATTCACTGAGCTCACAAGAGCGACCTATTCTTTCAAAAATGTTTGTAGCAGCAGTCTGCATGCCTAAGTGCTTGATTGTATACACCTGTGGCCATAGAGGTGATTAGAACACCAGAATCCAATGATTTGGAGGGGTGTCGCAATACTTTTGGCAATATAATTTACTTGAATCATTTATTTCCAGCTTGCATGCAGTAGGAAGGCAGATTATACATGCCCTATACACCATTGTTTCTAAATGCACATATGACCACAGTTTGATATGCAGGAATTACTTGCAAATTTCTTTCTATTGTACTTAAAATGAACCTAGCATTGGACATATCGTTTCATATTAAGTACATGCAGGCTTAGTAATGTATAAACTGAAGGACCCATTTACATTTATGGATGGTGGTAATATGTGTACCACGGTGCAGTACAGTGGTTTAAAATGGCTCTCCAATACACTAATGTAACTGCCCTGTACCTGCCCTGTCAGAATGAATGGTACATGCCCATTTTTTGCAGCATAGTGGTGCTTTGGAAATCCATTAAAAAGGAATGGGCTGCCTTAATGCAACAGATGTTGATATGAAACAAAACACGTTAACACGTATTAATACACATCAACACAGCAAAAATGTGTGAATGGACCCGGATTACTATTACAGGTATTTATCACCTTTCACTGAGATCACAATATTGCTGGGTAACCTTCTATTTCCTGCATTGATATGGTGGCTAAGATAACACAGTCAAGTAAATCCTGGTACCTGTAAAGGTAAAAAATGCGATGACTGAAGGGAGGAGGCTACAGAAGAAAAATAACATCAAGGCTCATTTACTAAAGGATTTTTGAATCTTCACACAATTGTTTGAAATGTTTTATTTCAATTATCCAATAGCGTGAAAAGCAAATTCCTGTTTATCATTCATTTCACCTATACACAAGTGAATAATTAAAGTGAATGTTCACACAATTTATTATGGGAAGATTTTCAACTTCTGCAGTATATCAGCCTGATCATCTCAGCCTAAGAAAAGTAACTTGAATTGCACTTAGGTACTGCTTTTTAATGCTGAGATGTTCTTTTTAATGTATATTGTGAAGTGTAGGAATATATTCATGCAGACTTGTGAAGTGTTAGAAGTGAAGACAAATAAGTGCCTTCAGAAACATTGTAATTACAGCATTGTTAGTAAAGCTCTTGTAGGCTATTTAGTTGAATGGCAGATGGAAGGGGCTTATCATCAGGGTCAGAGTACACAAATGAGAGTTTCAGGTTAATAGTGTTTGTAGGTGGCACTTTCCAAGACTTTTAATTTTAAAAGCATTAAAAAGGTTGACAGGTTCACTTTAACAAAGAAGCACTGTGTTATATAAAGTGAAGGCCTTTTGATTCTTTTTGAGTTGAGCACTCTAACCTGAATAGACATCCTGTCTCAAAATATATACAAAGACATGAGCATTTCCACCTTGTTTATTCTACTGCATTAGGTTCATTTTGTTATAGAAAACACACTAGATAAAATATCCAAAAGTGGTTTGTTGTTGATGTCTGTCCGACAGACAGGCAGGATTTTAAGAGAAGCAGAAATAGCTATTACTTGATAAGGATTAAATAGGATGAAATAGTTTTGTGTGTATACAGTCTGTTCTGGTTGAAACATATTTTTACTTTCATTTATCTCTCATTTATGCAGACCTAAATTCATAATGTAACTTTAACCAATTCAATACCGGGCAATTTTACACCTTCCTGCCCAGGCCATTTTTTAGGTTTCAGCGCTCTCACACTTTGAATGACAATTGCGCGGTCATACAACATTGTACCCAAACTAAAATTTGATCATTTTCTTCACACAACTAGAGCTTTCTTTTGGTGGTATTTAATCATCGCCAGGGCTTTTATTTTTTGCTAAATTTACAAAAAAAGACCGAAAATGTTGAAAAAAAAAACACATTTTTCTTTGTTTCTGTTATAAAAGTTTGCAAATAAATAATTGTTCTTCATAAATTTAGGCCGAGATGTATTCTGCTACATGTCTTTGGTGAAAATAACCCAAATTAGGATGTATTTTTTAGATTGTAGGAAAGTTATAGAGTTCACAAACTATGGTATAGATCTGAATATTGATCAATCCTGAAGTACTGACAGCCAATCTAATTTCTTGAGGTCCGAGAATGTCAGAATAGTACAGATATCCCCCAAATGACCCTTTTTGCAGAGTAGACAGTCCGACGTACTTCATAAGAGGCATGGCAAGTTTTTTGAAGTTGTATTTTTTTTGTCATAATTTTTCCGAAAATGAAAAAATGAAAAAAATAATTTTCACTATTTTGTTTTTTACATACTGTCACCAGTGCAGCACAGCATCATCATATAACTGGCATGGCGGTGATCAGGGACACTGACTGGTGACAGTGTGAAAAAAAAATATATTTTTATTTTTTTATTTTTTTATTATTTTTAAATTTTTTATTAATTTTTTTTTCTTTTTTGTAAGATTTTTTTTTCATATTTCACTATGTCCAAAGTAGTACAATGTTGCCATAGTAACATTGTACTACTTTGGGGAAGTGATTAGTATTTTTTTTTTTTTTTTTTTACACAATTTGCTTATAGCAAATAATTACTTTGCTATAAGCAAGCATTTACCTGAATGACATCGATTTCATTCAGGGTTTTTTTTTTTTTTTTTTTTTCGTGCTTAGCTGTGATTTGGCCACAGTTAATCACATGACATGTGCATGTGATTAGCTGTGACCATTCACAGCTAGACACTAGTATACAATGGATGGCATGAATGAAGCCATCCATTGTATACAACTGTCATGTGACCTGCTGTGATTGGTCACAGCAGGTCACATGGTACCGGCAATGGGGCCGATACTCAGATCTGTAATCGGCCGTGTCCGAGCTACACGGCCAATGACAGATCGCGCCACTGCGCGGCTCTGCAAGCGCACGAACTGCACATGTGCGGGAGTACACCAAATGGCAGCCTCCCGGAAAGCTAGTGCATTTTTTTCCGGCCGCCATACGGCTATTGGCTGGGCGTCAAATGGTTAAACAAGCTGAAGTATAATGTAAGCAAGTCTTAAAAGAAAAGTTTGGGAATATAAAAAAATAAACAATCATACTCACCTAGGTGGATACAGCACTGGTCTGATGCTGCATCTGTCTCCTGCCACCTCTGAAACTGAGAATTGAGCAGTGAAACACCACTGATCTTTGCTCTGCTCCTCCAGCACTCACTGGAGCACTGGGCTGTGCAGGGGGCAGTAGCAGCTGGCTCAAGCTCTCAGTGGCTCGCTAAGAGACTGAGCCAGCTTAAAGTTGTGATCTCTCCAGAGCCTAGACTGGCTAAGTGACATCAGCACTTTAGCCCACTGTTGGCTGAAAATGGGTCACAGGAGTGCAGAACAAAATGCACTCTTGTGATCCATAGAAGTAGGACCAAAAGAGCTTTGGCCCCACTTCTCCTTTAATACATAAAAATAGATATACATTATTTTTTTAAGTTCTAGATATATCTGTATAGACAGCTCCAATATTATTCTCAATATTATCGGATTTGCCCATGTCCTTGTTACAAAGAGTCCATTGTGTTCCAATAAAACTGAGTTTAATTTGCACTGAGTTGGCATGTAGCATGCTTAGAGCGGTCCACACAGCATGGCCGTAACATACAGATTTACAGCACAATGGACTTTCCTTAGTGGCTTATAGGGTAATACTGAATCCTGTGTGGGATACATGGGCAGAGTTCATGGATGTTTTCAAGTACCATGATGTAATTAACTTAATAGGCTCAATTCACAAAGCCAACTCATGGATGTAAGAATATTCATTAAAAAAAAGTGAGTTTTTTTCAGTTGTGTCTAATAAGATTGGAAAATTAAGATCACATGGTTAAAACAAAGATACTTTTTCTTTGTTTTAAAATATTGTAAATTGAGCCAAATATATGGGGCTTGCAAATATATGGGGCTTAAGTGTTGTGATGGAGCATTTTTTTAACCACTTGCCTACTGGGCATTTTTACTCCCCTTCCTGCCCAGGCCAATTTTCAGCTTTCAGGGCTGATGCACTTTGACAATTGCAGGATCATGCAACATTGTACCCATATGAAATACCCACATGTTTTATTTTTTGCTAAACAAATGAAAAAAAAATGTAAACAAAATTTTTCCGGCCAATGGCCGTTTGGCGGCTTGAAAAGCGCTGCAGCTTTCCGGGTGCACGCCATTTGGCCATCCATTGTATACTAGTGCCTAGCTGTGAATGGTCACAGCTAATCACATGCACATGTCATGTGATTAGCTGTGACCAAATCACAGCTAAGCACAAAAAAAAAAAAAAAAAAAAAAAAAAAAAAGCTAAATGAATCGATTTCATTCAGGTAAATGCTTGCTTATAGCAAAGTAATTCTTTGCTATAAGCAAATTGTGTAAAAAAAAAAAAAAAAAAATACTGATCACTTCCCCAAAGTAGTACAGTGTTACTATGGTAACATTGTACTATTTTGGTCATAGTAAAATATGAAAAAAAATCTTAAAAAAAAAAAAAAAAATGTAATAAAAAATTAAATATAATAAAAAAAAAAAATATATATATTTTTTTTTTTCATACTGTCACCAGTCAGTGTCGCTGTTCACCGCCATGCCAGTTATATGATGACGCTGTACTGCACTGGTGACAGTATGTAAAAAAAAAAATAGTGAAAATAATTTTTTTAATTTTTTCATTTTCCGAAAAATTATGACAAAAAAATACAACTTCAAAAAACTCGCCATGCCTCTTATGAAGTACGTCGGACTGTCTACTCTGCAAAAAGGGGTCATTTGGGGGATATCTGTACTATTCTGACATTCTTGGACCTCAAGAAATTAGATTGGCTGTCAGTACTTCAGGATTGATCAATATTCAGATCTATACCATAGTTTGTGAACTCTATAACTTTCCTACAAACTAAAAAAAATACATCCTAATTTGGGTTATTTTCACCAAAGACATGTAGCAGAATACATCTCGGCCTAAATTTATGAAGAACAATTATTTATTTGTAAACTTTTATAACAGAAACAAAGAAAAATGTGTTTTTTTTTTTCAAAATTTTTGGTCTTTTTTTGTTAATTTAGCAAAAAATAAAAACCCCAGCGGTGATTAAATAC